AGGTCTACTTCCAGCTCATTTGCCTCAGTCACTTTATCTTGTTTCTGGACATGTGTAGATATGGTCATCTGCTTCTGTTTTTTGGGTATATTCAGGAGTTAGCTGTGGCCTTAATACTTAATTAGGTGTGCTTTTGGGTACTTATTCTATGCTTTCTGATTGCCTCCATGTAGATGTGATCAGGAGATGGACATCCCTTTTAACTCTTTTTCCTGAGAAATTTCAAGATGCCACTGTTGGTCATTGTGATGTAACTCAGGATTTAATTTTCAGTCTGTTTCTTTTTCAGTCTGCCTGTCCTGTTCCATAGTCCCCGTTCAGGCCTTTTTTCTAGTTATAAACAGTTCAGGGCCAGCTGTGGCTGTTTGGTTTTAAATGGAAATTCTCTCTTTAAATTTCAAGGACATCTGTGCATATGCATAGTAGAACCCTCTGGGGTGGGGGGTGGGTTGTTCACTCTCTCAGGCACCCCCCTCTAGTCACCAGAATGGAGGTGCACAGACAGTGAGAGACCACAGAACAGATACAAAAAAAAAAAAAAAAAAAAAAGAATGTCCACACCTTTATCTCTGTGGTTCTGTCAGATGTCCGTGAGTGATCTGATCCTTCCCAGGCTTGGTGTCTCACACGATGGCGGCTCCAGGAGCAGCTGACCATCTTAAATTAGAAAGCAATGGAATTCTTGCTTCTGCTATAAATTCCCCTAGCAGTAAGCCTTCCAACCTTCAAAATATTTCTTTATATGTGGTTCAGAGTTCTGGCACCATCCCTTGAGCCTGCTTGGTCCAGTATTCTGTGTTGTTGCTGATGGAGCGCCTCACTGCACTTCCACCCGATCCGCCATCTTGTTTGTTCTCTCTGTGAGCCACACTTTGAATAGCAAGAGTATAGAGGTGAGCTCTTGGTCTAAGAAATGTTAAATTCTCGTCCAAAGTTATACTGTATCTCAGTACCCTTTTTACCAGACCAGAAAATTAGCCATATAAGTGGTCAATAAAGGAATTAGTTTTCATAGGAAAACCAAATTTGTAACTTTTCATTTTGGAGGGATAGCATTTTGCTTGCAGG